TGCTAAATATTTTTTGCCAGTCTTTTTACCCTGTTGGAGAAGTTTTTTATATGCAAAGAGATGTGATTCTTAGACGGTCCTATTCACCCATTTTATTTTCCTGATTGTAGGTTTTTTCATTATACTTGGAAGACTGCTCATGCTGTGGATTTGGGCTTCTAGAGTTGTTCCTAGCTTTCCTCTGATGAGTTTTGCTTTTACTTCTAGGTCCCTGATCCACCTTGAGTTGGTTTTTGTGTATAGTGTAAGATGTAGATCTTGTTTAAGTTTTCTGCAGATGGTTTTCCAGTTTTGCCAACACCATCTGTTAAAGAGACTGACATTTCTCCACTTAACTGATTTGCCTCCTTGTCAAAGACAGTTGACCATAGGTAGATGAGTTGGGTTTTGGGTTCTCAATTCTATTACATTGGCCTGTGTGTCTATCACTGTATCAGTGTCATGCTGTCTTGACCACCACAGCTATATACTAGGATTTGAGATCAGGGAGTGTGATTCCACCTACCTTGTTTCTCTTTTTCAGTAGTATTTTGCTTCTTTGGAATCTCTTTCCATTCCAGATAAAATTGGAAAGTGCCTTTTCCATCTCATTGGAGAATGGACTTGGTATCTGCATTGGGATTGTATTGAAATTCTAGATAGCCTTTGGTAGAATTGTCATTTTAACAATATTGAGTCTTCCTATCCATGAGCATAGTATATTCTTGCATTTCTCCAGGTCTTTTTGTTTCTTGTAGTAATTTTTTATAATTTTCTTTATGTATGTCTTTGGTATCACTAGTTAGATTTATTCCCAAGTATTTAATTTTGTGATTGGCTATTATAATTGGTATTATTTTTCTTAGCTCCATTTCTATATTCTCTTTGTCACTGTAGAGAAATACAACTGATTTTTGTATATTGATCTTGTACCCTGTTACTTTACTGAATTGGTTGTCTATGCCTAATAGTTTTCTCCCTCAATCTTTAAGGATTTCTAAGTATATTATCACATCATCTGCATACAGAGATAGTTTTACATCCTCTGCCAATTTTTGTACCTCTTATTTCCTTGTCTTGCCTTATTGCTCTTGCTAAAACGGCAAATACAATTTTGAAAAAGAAATGAGAGGGTGGGCATCCTTGCCTAGTTCCTGTTCGCAAGGGAAATGCCTTTAATCTCTCTCCATTGAGAACAATGTTGGCTCTTGGTTTTGCATATATACTTTTCACTATGCTAAGGAAATTCCCCTCTATTCCAATTTTGTTGAGTGTTTTCATTAGGAAGGGGTGTTGGATTTTTGCCATAGGTCCTTGGCCCAGTTTTAAACTGTTGTTTTAATGAGTTAAAACACATCTTTGTACCTCTGCCCCTGGGCTCCTATGTAGCCTATATTGTTCAAGGGATTCTCAATCCAGTACTGGAAGGCCAGTGTGGTGTTGATGTTCTGAAGCTTAAGGTGAAGGATTAGATGCTTTAAAAGACTAGCAAACACTATCTAATTCTTGTCTTTCTATGATTTAACAGACCCTTCTGTCAATATAACTGTAACTAAAACACTTGATTAATTTCCCACAGGAAATAACATTTTTGTAAACCATAATGTTCCAAGTGGAAGCTTCATAATTTAACACCTTCATTACCTAAAAGTACCCTAAACACTGTCACAGTGAATGACTTGAGGATCCTTGAAGGCATCAAGCTTGCTTTCGTCTCTATGCCTGTGCTAGTCTTGATCTTATTTCCTAAAGTCAACTACCTTCATGTAGGCCTGAGTATCCTGAAAGTGGCCATTAAACTTGACCTAGAGACTGCTGCTGTGGTAAAGTGTTCACTGACCCACTCCTACCTCTGGGAACCTTCTGTCTGAGGCCCAGCTTTGTCATATTCACCCATTGCTGTATCACTATGCCATGTTGTTAAAATAAGTCAGATTCCCTAAAGAGAAAAACTCGGTCTTGATTTTTTTTATAAAGGCCTATCACTATGGCAATGCATTTCGTATGTGTTCCAAAGGCATCTATTATGGCCATTTATTTACTATGTGTTCCGAAGGCATATGGTTCAAATCCACCAGCTCCTCCACGGGGAAGGATGGACAGTCTCCTCTTGTGTAATTTACTGCCTCTGAAATCCTGCTGGAGGGTCAGCTAGGGGTCAGTTCTGACTCAACGGCACACAATAAGAAAAAGCTGTTCATATCCTGTGTCCATTATGCAATTGGGTTTTTTACCTTTATCTTGTTTTGATGCTCGAGTACTCTATATAAATCCTAGATGTAAGTCCCTTATCAGACACATCTTACCAAATATTCTTTTTCTCATTCTATGGCTTTCCTTTTTATCCTGTTGGAGAAGTTTTTGGATGTGCATAGGGATTTGATTCTTAGAAGGTCCCGTTTATCTATTTTTATCCTCTCCTGGTTGTCGATTTTTCAGGATGCTTGGAAGACTGTTCATGTTGTGAATTAGGGCTTCTAGAATGCTGAAATATCTCAGTCACAAAAAGACAAATTGTGCATAACACCACTGTTATAAAACAAGATTGACATGAGGATTGAGGGGAAGCTAAGAAAAAAGGGGATAAATAATGTACACAGCATTGAAACAGACAAGGGAGATAACTGTATAAAAGGAATATATGATTAGGTATTATTGGTATGACAAGAGTCCAGAATAAGAGCTGCATAGTAAAGTGGTCTGGGGAGGGGGTTGCTCTAAAACGATGAAAGAACTTGTTTTCCAAAGAAAAAAGTGAACTCAGGGGGTGGGGAAGACAGGGAGGAAAATGTGCAACAATGAATGAATGGAAATCCAAGTTCTTGATAAACTTTCATTAAAATCTCAATAAAAACAAAAATAAAAAAGCTAATTTTAACTGAATGGATTTCAATTCTTCTATCATTGTATGTAGCATAACTAATAATGGTTTAGAGTATGGCTGGACTCTTCCAGAGCCCTCACACTAGGGAGGCAGGCCTACATAGATGTAGTAAATGATGGAATAAAGCAAGACGTAATTAATAATAAAAATACACTTTTATACAATGCATTACGTGCCAAACACTCTTCTAATTACACATCTATCACTTTTATAGCTTTTTCAAAATCCTCTCATTTCTTTGTAAAGGCCTGAGTGGCCATTAAAAGCTAATTTCCTGTAATTCCTCTGGTTATTGCCTTCAGAACTTAATTAACACAATAAGTTAATATTAACTTCAAAGCTATAAAAGGTCAGTGCTGATATCCCTTCTACTTTTGCTCTCATCAGGAACACTGTCTAATTTCTTTCAGTGGATCATTTTAGTCTAGACTGTATACTAGAACGTGCCCTGGCCTAAGAAATCAGAGCCTAGAAAGTAATCAAGATGGCCAATTATAGTCCGCAAAAATTCCCAGAGGGGAAAAAGGATGGCACCTCTAATAAAGGGGTCATATTTGCTACCCTTTGGTTTACTGACCCTTATTGATTGGAATTTCTGAGTTTTTTTTAGATTTGAACTTATATATTTTGTTAGCAACTTTGAAGCTCACTAGTTAAAATGGAGCATAAAAGACAAAATCCTTCTAGTAAACAACGTTGTGCAGGCAGGTGCAATATTAATTAGGGTGATCATATAAAATTTATCTGACCACATGACTGATCAACAATTTGCAACATGGTAGAAAGCCGCGGTAAGTAGGTCTCTCCCTATGAGTATATAAAGGAAGCAAGTCGGTTCACATCCTTAAAACATCATCCAGTAGATACCTGTGTTGTGCTTAGCACTTGACCATGTCCTAAAGGCAAGAATGTCCTCAGATTCCATGTTGACCTTAAAAATATAAATCCCAAAATGAGGTGCCACATTGAACTCATAACAGCTGGTAGAGGCAGCTGTGCTGCCTGGTGACAGTCTAATTAACATGGTGATAAACTGTGTAATAGCAAAGTCTTCCATTCCAGTGATGATTTCCACAGAGGAATCATGAAGTACCTTGGGAAATTATGCCATTCATATTCATTAAGTGCACAAAGCAGTGCAGCCTGAAGGAGAATGCAGATTCAGTGAAGCCACCAGCTCGGCATGAACTATTCCAGGTCCTTGACTTGGCCTCACTGATCATTCACAAGGTCAGGTTTCTTCACTATGTGGATCAAAAAGACCCTTCTCTGTAAACCATGAGGTTTCTACACAGAACACTGTGATTCACAGAAAGTTTTCTGCTATTGTGTGAAGTGTTTTTCCTACATTCTTTTCCCCTTGTGTCTTTCCTTTTTCAAATACCTTAAGCCCAAACCCACAAGTTATAGTGATAATGTAGATTAATAAACAACTAGATAGCCAAATGCATAGGTACACCTGTACCCTAACTTTGTAGCAAAACGCTCAGTGTGACTTTCATGTAAGATCAGCATATTTCTCATGTGTGCAAAAACACTCTTCTTGATGGGTTGATAACTGGCCTCATAATATAAGGAAGACTTCTATAGCTTATCTAATTAGGTTCATTTATGCAAATTACTAGTGCTAGAATAATTTTTAAAAAACAGAGAAAATACCCTACAAGAGACATTTCAACTTAAAATTACATTCTACATTTTTCTTTTGTTAAATGTATATACATATGTGTTTGTGTAGATACATGTATTTCTATTTAGTATAACCAACCATACAAGAACAAAAGAGTAACATTTACCCATAGACAAAATCTAGAAGGCAGGAAGGGATAAGAAAGAAAAGGACTAGAAATGGGAGAAACATGGAGGAAGGAGAGAGATTGCTGTGATAATGTGAGGATTATAATCAATGTCATGAAATAGAATGTGCATAAATTTTGGAATGGGTAACCAATTTGCTCTTCAAATTTTTACTTGAATCTAAATAAATTGCTTTTTGTTTTGTTGTGGTTTTACTTGTTGTTTTATTTTGTTTGTTTGTTTCCTAAAACCCACCGTAGTCATGCTACTATAAATATATTAAACTCAAACAGTGGTGAGTAGTTGTTTAATGAAGAATCTTTCTATTTCTCTCCATCAGATATTTTCTCCATGATCTCTGACTCCAGTGGGGTGATGGTTTATGGACGCTACGACCAGTTCCTCCGGGAGGTTCTCAAACTCCCCACAGCAGTTTTTGAAGGGCCTTCCTTTGGTTACACAGAGCAGTCCGCGAGGTCCTGTTTCTCTCAGCAGGTAAGGAAACGTGTGCTTTATAGACACAGCCCTCAAACAGTGGCTGCTCTTTATGTCACATCAAGTCACATAATCTTCACCATGTACCAAACCTTCAGTACACTTCCCACTTCAGGTACCTGAGCCCTGAACCAGGCAAACCAAGTCTACCAGCCTATGATTGATATGGTGAGATGAGATGATACAATGGGATGATACTCGATAAGAACCGACTATATGCCAAGGCATGCTTAGATAATGCTTGAATTATTTTTCTAGTTTATTCTTTACATCAACCTTGTTGCCTTGGTGTCATTATTATCCCTGCACACAAAAAGGAGCGGAATTATTGCTCGTCCTCGTGAAACCCATATCTCGTCTAGTGCCAAGTCTTACGAATGTTTAGAAAAGGACACTGGAAAGGATTGGAGGCACAGGTCCTGAGGAGTCTGATTTCTTTCTCCAATTCCATTTTGTTGTTGCTCTTTTGCAAAAATTTTATACAAAGTGAGTTCATATCTACAAAGGTGTAGATGATCTGACCTGAAGAATTGTAAGTGCACGTTGTGTTGAGTCCTTTAATCCCAGGAACAAGAGAAATGTTAACTGTTACTGGATCCTTCACTTCAGAAGCATGGTATAGAATCTCAGTGAAGTAATTTATGAATGCCTCTTTCAGGGCTAGATAGAGTAACAAAGCAGGTTTTTAAAACTATATAGACCTTACAGAAATATGTACGTTGTGATGTTGCCATTGTTTCAAACATATTTGAATCTCCCACAGACTGTCCTGTTAGACAAGCTTTTATATATCTTTAATAGCGCCTTTGAGCTGTGGGGCTGGAGAAGAGTATTGAATATACCATGGACTGCTAAGAGAACAAACAGATATGTCCTAAAGAGGGTAAAACCAGGCTGCCCCTTGGAGGCAGGATTCTGAAGCTTTTTCTGACATACTTTGGACATTTTACAAGGCATTTTACAAGGAGGACCAGTTCTATGCAGAGGAACATAATGTTTGGGAGGATAGAAGGACAGCACAAGAGAGGAAGACCCTCGTTAAGACAGATTGGCTCAGTGAGTGGGGTAAATGGGGTAGGTGTGTCAGAGACAATAAGGTTGGTTCAAGATAGAGCAGGGTTCAGAGCTATTATACATAGAGTTGCTATGAATTACAAGCACCCTAACAGCACATAACAACAACAATGATGACAAGTTTATACATGTCAGAATCATAATATTTTCAGAAATTCTGGAAGTGGCTTTTTAGCCAACATGATGAATGCTCAAAAGGAAAAAAGTATTTGAGGTCCATAAATATATAATAGAAACAAAATTAATAAAGCTAGTTTATTTTTGTGCTTAATAGCCAACTGTAGTGTTCAAATGATAAAATTATAAAACAATTTGAATTATTTTATTGGTCACATTTCAAAAGCACTCCAGGTGATGTTTTTCAAGTCTTTTCACTATCTTAAGTATGATTTTTTTAAAAACCAACCAAACAAACCCAAAACTGATTGCTCTAGAGTCAATTCCAACTTATAGGACAGAGTAGTAACCCCACATGGTTTCCATGGTTGTAAATCTTTACAGAAGCATCTTTCTCTCCCAATGAAAGTGATGGGACTGAACCACTGATCTCTTAGTCACCAAGCACTTAATCAGTGAGCTACAAGTTGTTGTTAGGTGCTGTTGTGTAGACTACAGTGCATAGCAACACAGTTAAGAACAGATCTGAATCTTTCTGTTCTGCACCATTCTCATGATTCCAATATACTCGAGCCCATTGTTACAGTCACTGTCTCAACCCTTCTTGCCAAGGATCTCCCCTCTTTTGCTCATCCTCCACCTTTCTAACTGTGATATCTCTTTTCCAAGAACTGGCCCTTCCTAACAACATGCTCAAAATACATGAGAGGAAGTTTCTCTGTTCTTGCTTCCAAGGAGCATTCTGGTTGTCCTTTCTCCAAAATATATTTGTGTGTCCTTTTGGCAGTCCCTGGGATAGTCAGTACTCTTCTCCAAAACTATCTCTTAAATTGTGCTATCTTTTAACAATACTATCTTATCACTTATACTTTATATAATATATACTTTAATCAATCAGTGGGATTCTGGAAGATGGAATGATTTGTGTTGGTTGAGGGTCAGTTTTGAACTCTTTGGGGTTGTTTGTTGGGTTTTTTTGTTGTTTGGGGTGGTTCTTTTTTTCATTCACAATAGTGTGTGAGCTGATTGAATTTGCTGAATTCAGGTAACAGTGAGCTATGGACTGGAAGCCACTTGTTTAGAGTTAACAGGATGTGGTGGAGGGCCTAGGTATTTCAATATTTAAAAGTCAGTTCATTTTAATTGTGTTTGGGACTAACATTGTTCTAAGTGGCACAGCACTGGTCTGTCAGTTTGCTGTACTGAGGTAACTTGGGGTTGCTGTAAAGCTAAACACTGACACTGGTGTGTCAAGTGCCATAATGGTTACCCATGGTGGACAGTGTTTTGCAGAGCTCCTAGCAGGCTTAGAAGCAAGAGTGGCATCCGCTTCCTAAACAACATGCCTCTGGAAACTCTATGGACTTAGAGAAACAACAATTTCCATAGAACGGGGTTAAGGTCTTTTGTTCATAAGATCACCATGAGTCTATGACTTGACAGCATTTAACAACAATAACAGCAACATACTTTAATGATGACATTTATATCATTCCTATTCAAAGTTTAGCCTTCTTATGAAGAAATGGTGAAATTGTAAATAACTGCTGAAAATAAAATAGAAAAGTAGCAAAACAAATACTCTGCAAAGAACACTAAATATGCCATGGACTGGCTGAAGAATAAACCAATCTGTCTTGGATGAAGTACAACCAGACTGCTCCTTAGAACCAAGGACTTTGTCTCTGTCATAAAGCTACAACACAGAGTCTGCTTAAATAAAAGCAGATTAAGTTTACTGAGAAATAATAAACCATCTGGACCTGGAAAATGTCCACTGTCATAGGGTGAAACAAGCTACTCCACTGGACCACAAAACAGGATGCGTTCTTTTTCTGATGGAACAGGAACTAAAGGTTATAAAATTCATAACTTGCTAAGGTACCATGAGAGGACTTAAAGGTGGGGCATGTAGATGCAAGAATTTGGTAGTAGAGCTACTATAACACAAACAATAGCAAAACTCAAACGCGTTACATTTGTGTATAACTCATAATTATGCTCTTCAGGTAACTAGAGGAGATTGCATATCATATCTTTCCCCTACAGAGCCACTGGTAGATTTAAACCAGCAGAGAAGCTCAGCCTTTTCAGTTAGTATTACAACTCATATAAGTAGAATTAAATGATTGACTAAAGGTGCATGCTGTCAGAGACCTCTCCAAAGTACTGAAGAGCAACAAAGTCATTTTGGAGACTAAGTTGCACTTGATCCATACCATAGTTTTGCAATTACTTGCTGTGCATCAGAGAACTGAACAATGACTAAGGATGAAAGAAGAAGAATTGATACCTTTGGGTTGTGGTTCCTCCAGAGAAGAGTATTGAATATATCATGGACTACTAAGCGAATGAATAGGTTCTTCCTGGAGAGGGTGAAGCCAGGCTGCTCTTTGGAGGCAAGGCATTTGAAGCTATGTCTGATATACTTTGTGCATGTTGCAAAGAGGAACCAGTCTTTGGAGAGGGATGTCATGCTTGGAAGGGTAGTGGAACAGCACAAGAGAGGAAGACCCTGAATGAGATGGATTGATTCAATGTCAGTGACTGTGGAAATGAGGGTTAGGTGTGTCAGAGACAATGAAGTTGACTCAAGACAGTGCAGGGTTTAGGGATGTTGTACATAGGGTCATTATGAGTCAGAAGTGACTCAACGGCACATAACAACAACGACATATATGAAGAGAATTATTTAAAAATTAGAATATTCCATCTGAACAAAGATTATGTATTGCACTAATCTTGTATAGTATACCATTTGCATTAACCACTAAAGACTTAGGAAAGTTGAGAAAGTTTGAAAAGAAATCATCCTACAAAAATAGAAGACTAGCTGTTAATGGGGACTTATTCTTTGTTAAAATTCAATGAAGAATGTCTTGTTCATCTTATCTTTTTCATACAGTGTCTCATGCATGAATGGAATGCTCTTAGAATTATTTTTCTCGTTTTAATAATATTAACTTAGCCTCAATAGAGATATAATGAAGTTCTGAGTTGTTTTAATATAAAAAGTAAACCAATGTACCAATTTTTGAACCAACCTAAAAAGCACAGTTGGCAAGACATGTTAATGGAATTTCTGGTTTCTTCTGTCTCAAATACTTAACTCCAGGTAAATTAAGATTCTTTCCTTTTATTCTTGATTCTTTTTACTTGTTTTTGATGCAGAAAAAAGTCACGTTGAATGGATTTTTGGACACACTCATGTCTGATCCTCCTCCGCAGTGCCTGGTCTGGTTGCCCCTTCTACATCGACTGGCCAATGTAGAGAATGGTGAGTACCTCATATTGAGTAGAGACATAACACCAACAGCTTCTAAGTCAAGGTCATTGACTTGTAAAGTCTATTTAATATTTCTTTGTTTTGCTTAGTCTAAAGCTAACCATTCTTCTGGATCAGTATGGGTTTGAAGGAAACTGTTTTACTCTTAAAATTCATTGGATTTCATTTTCATTTCAACCTCTCACATACAAGTCAAGTGTGCCTTAAAGATTTGGGATGACATCAATAAAGAATGTGGCACTTGTGTACTATTTGTTTTCGATCTTGGGTGTCATTGCAGCTCGTTCCCAACTTAGGATGTAATCAACCTTCTATGAACCACACTTAGAACCAGCCATTGTTTCCTGCTTTGAGCATTAGTAACTAATGCGTACAATATTGCTGTCCATAATTTGCAAAAGTTATCATTTACAGATGTAATGTTTCTCCTTCTAAAGACATAGAGATCAGATTTAGAAAGGTACTGATAATAAATGACAACAATAATGAAACTTGAGAGAAAGAGATGAGGTATTCAACTTATGTCAAAACTAACTTAAAATAGAGTCTTTAGAATGGGACTGTGTCACAAGTTGAGAATTATTTTCATTAGTTTACATGATAGGAGCAATTCTTCCTAGACACTTGGCCAAGAATAGGTTGGGCAGGTTGCAAAGTTTAGATGTTAGCAACTTTCTAATTTTCCATTGTATGTTCCAGATATTGAACTTCTAATTTATATAGAAGTCAAGAGTGATGTAAATTTTATAATGTGATTTTTTAAAATAAAAATATATGTTATTGGGTGTTGTCGAGTTGGCTGCACCTCAGAATGACTTTATGAACAGCAGATATGAACCTGGCCCTGTCCTGAGTCCTCCTTGCCATCTCTGATGTGCTCAGACCTGTTGTTACAGTCAGTTGTGTCAACCCGTCTTATTGAGTGACAACAGCAATGGGCTCACGTGGGTCAGGCGTATGAAGATCAGACAGAGTTCAGACCAGGGCTTGTAGGGTCTTTACGAGTCATACTCAACACCACCTAACAACAACATGTGTGTGTGTGTGTGTGTGTGTGTGTGTGTGTGTGTATACAAACTTAAATATAAAATACAGTTCAAACTAAAGTAAAACATGCAGCAGTGTATTGTTCAAGTTAATCTCCAGGCATTCTTATTTTTTTATCTGATCTAACCTGTAATTCCTCAAGATGTGTGTAGAAAGTACTATTTCTCTTGCTAAAATCATTGTTTCTATATCTTTTATAATATAGAATTTTACAATATAATAGGGCTAAAATTTGGCATTTTTAATTCCTTCTCAGAACATTTAGCAACGTCTACTCTTATCATCTCTCTTCATTTAAAATTATAAATTTATCCTGTTTCATAGGTGATAAAAATATAAAGAATGAATTGAACAGGTTCTGTGCAGGCACAGCTCATAAGAGATGTCCTCCACCTCCACCCTTTTACCCATATGCAAAAGCAAAGAGTATTCAGGGTCCAAATCATACTGTCACACAGGCTGAGTTCAGATTACTGCTAACAGTTCCAAAGCGAATCATTTCCAATCATCAAGCTGTAATACCATTCCTTCTCTCTCGGTATTTCCTGTTGCAGAAGGTGAGCTTCCTGGGCTCTCTTCCAGAGCAATTGAGGTCCAGATACAGGTCCCACCCCAATCTCTCAAGAGCCTGAAAAGGAACATAAAGTACCTGGTCATGCTTTAAAAAAATAAAATAAAATCTATTTTGTTTTTACAATTTGCTGTTTATCTTCACTCATTCTCATTTGCATTCTTATTCCTAGAGAGCTAGCTGGAGACCACCTTTACCTTTACCTAAGGCAAGAATTGTTGTTGTTTTAATCTCTTTAGCTCAGAGCCTGTGCACCATTGCTTGCATCTGATTATTAAGTAATGTCAAATCTCAAATATTTTACTTTGCCTGCTTTATCATGCAAATTTCCTGCCAGAGCACGTTAAGTGTTTGCTTAGACAATTCAAATTAGAACCAATCCAATTAGAGTCATATAATTGAAATATCTTTGGGGAGTCCTCAGGAAAGAGAATAAGAACTCTGCCTGATAGATGAAGATAATGCCATTCTACAAGTGCCCACTCCATCGGCCACTTTGCTTTTTCAAAGTAACTCAGTGCTCTCCTCCAGGTTTTCTTCTCTGTCTCCACTCCCCCCTTTTTTCCTTTTTCTCATCCTCTTTTTCTCTGATATTTGTTCTCTTCCCACTGGACAGGCGGCTGTATTCATCCATTGTGTTTCTGAGTCTCCCAGTAAGCTGGATTGGTCTCCTGGAGACAGAAAGCAGGTTTTTGGAAAGATCAGTTGGTTTGAGTCATTGATATTCTTGTAATGTAAGAGACGGGAGTAGAGAGAACAAATGGTATTACAGAGAAGTGTTGTTAAAAGAGCACGCATTCTCCATCATTGTTCCACTCTTTCCACATACTTGACAAAGGTGGTCAGGTTCCAGGAAGAAGCTTAAAGCAAGATATGATTCCTGTTAAGCTGCATTTTTCCTTATTCTGGTTCTTTTTTCTCTGTTTCTTCACTTTCTTCCCCTTAGTCTTCCATCCAGTTGAATGTTCCTACTGCCACAGTGAGAGTATGATGGGATTTCGCTACCGATGCCAGCAGTGTCACAATTACCAGCTCTGTCAGGACTGCTTCTGGAGGGGACATGCCGGCGGTTCCCATAGCAACCAGCACCAAATGAAAGAATACACGTCCTGGGTAAGGCGCAGTCCATACCATGCTTATGGATAAATGTGGGAGCATTGCCCGAGATGAAGGGAATTATCGAGGATTGTGACAGAAGGAAAGAACAAACTTACAGCTCGGGTCTTTCAACCCTCTATCCTCCGTCCCACCCTCCCTTTTTGGAATCTTACATATCTTGATGAACTATAGCTTTAGAAGCTTCCTAAGACGCAAAATACAGGAATCCTCAAACTGTGTTACTTCTTGGATTGATTTTGGTAACAAGCTAGTATTGATTTCAGTAACAGCTGAACAGCCAGTAGCTCCTGGAACATATTCTTATTTTCACAGTAAGTTAACATCATTTCCAGGGTTTTTAATTTGTTTTGCTTATTTATCTGGGGGCCAGGGGTTGTCTTTCCGGGGGAGGTCAGCTTCGAAATTATTGTTTCTTTTTTATTAAATTCTAGAAACTTGTATAGGACTGCAGTGCAGCTTCTTGCCGCTAGACCACCAAAGCTCTTTTTAGAAACTTGTATGTATATGTGGGTTTAGTAATCCCATCTCATTTTATGTCTCTGCAGGGGTGGGAGCATTGTGGTTATAGTAGCAAATCATCTTCATGAACAATCAAAATGACCAGCTTGCTAAAGGCGACCCGCATGTGTCTGTCCAAGGGGTAGATGTCTTCTCAGGGGGACAGGGCACTGGTTCTGGGAGAGGAGCTGGAGGATCGCCGGGTGCTTGCTGTTCCAGTGCTGTACTGATTGCTGACTTCTGGCTCAGTTAACGCTCCAATGCTTCTGTTCCTCCACTTCTGTTAAAGTCCTCTTCTCCGCACAAGTTGTTTCTGGTGGCCTGGACCAACAATCCCTGCCAGTCCTTCCTGGAAGAAGAGTTTGATTACAGTTAAAGCAAGCCTTGGATGATCTTTCCTATATTTTCATATATTTAAAATTGAGCCAGCATTATTTAAAGCATAACTGATGATTCTTTTAGAAAAGATCCTTCAGAATATCCCTTTCCCCCTCTTTTTTTTTACTTGGTTTTCATTCAATCATTCCTATGCATTTTGTTTTATAAAATTAATTACAATTGATCAGTGCCACTAATTTCATCTCATCAAATCCTCACTGTACCTTGTCCTGTCCATCCATCTGCTTATCTGTGCTCCGTCTCGCTCCCCTCCAAATCTGTCACTCTTCCACTATTACTTCTCTCTGTGTGTAAGCCTTCCCTTTGCTTCCCCCTTCCCATTTATATACATTTTAAATCAGACTGTTCTTCCCTAAGAGTGAATACTTGGCATTGAGAGTCAGAATAAACCTCTGTTATCACCTGTCAAGATCTGAATTCCCATAGCGGCTCTTTGCTAAGGCCACCTATCCCGAGTGCTTCCTGCCAGCTCGGATGCTGCCCTCACTTTAGTTTTGTCACATGCTGAAGCTGACATATTAACATAGATTATGAAACACAATTTCACATAAAGAGAAGGAAAAAAAGTTTTTTTTTTCTTGTTGTTAACATATTACCAAACTTTAAACTTGTTCTGTTCTAAAGCCTGGAGTACTAGTGCTTGAAGATCAGTCATATTTCATTGTCATTTTGTAGACACGTTGCAGTCACACTCTTTCTTAGGACTCATGGGCTCTTGAATCATATGACCAGGAGCTGTCTCCACAAATCAGAATCTGGCTCCTTGAGACAACAGAGTCCCATGGCTTATAGGGTGAAGAGCTGTTGATTCTGTTGTCATTGTTGTTGCCGCTGCTGCTGCTGCTGCGTTATGTGTTCTAAAAATTTGTGCTGCCAACCCAAAGGCTCGAGGTTCGAATCCACCAGTTGCTCTGACGGAGAAAGATGGGCAGCTTCCTCCTGAGCAATTTGAAGCCTCTGAAAACCCTCTGGAGAGTCAGCTGTGAGTTGGTTTCCGCTTGAAAGCTCGAAGCAACATCAAAAGCCAAACAGGGACTTTTCAGCATTGCTCCTATTTCTGAGGTTTTAAATAATAAGGACAAAAGTCATTTTGGTATAATAGCAATTTTGGGATGTATGAATAACAAGAAGTGAGAAAGGAATATTTTGGTTAGCAATCTATTTTATTGGAAGACTCTTTTTCACCATTTTGGATGTGATGTTTTAACATAAGCATTCCGCCTGCCTACATGGAGAAGTAACAAAGCGCTCTGAGGAAAACAAACAAAAAATCAACTTGACATTCTGAAGACTCAGGTTTATGTTCCAGTTTTACTTCTGGCTGGATGGTTTAGATCCCAGCTTAAACTCTGCTCACCTAGAATCTTATAAAACCCCTTGTTCGTCTCTCTCTACTCTTAAATTCTTCTCCCCAAGGCTTTTTTCCTTGGTGGAGTAATGCTTCTAGAATCAAATCCAATCATGTCGCTCCTGTGATTTCAAAGTCTAATTGGCTTCACTGCCCCTGAGATACAGGCCACAGTCCTTATGAGAAAAGTAAGAACGGATGATTGGCCTCCTGCCTCTCCAGATGGGCTCCTGTTGCAGCTTGGCTTCTGCTACAGAGCCATGGTGGTGCAATGCTGTAAGTGTAGAGCTGCTCTCTGAAAGGTCAGCAGTTCAAATCCATAAACTGCTCCACTGGTGAAAGAGAAGCAGTCACCTATAAATATTTACAGACTGGGAAACCCAGAGTAAAGTCACTGGGAGTCAGGATCAACTCAGTGACATCGGGTCTAATTTTTTTGCTGCTGTTGTTCGCTTTTTTTTTTTTTTGCTTGATTTTCTTTTCCTGAGCTTTGACCAAGAGGAATCCACTAACTCCCAGGTCCCATGTACAGTAGGTGCTTTTGTTGATCACAGCAATCGTTGACAGTAAGCAGTAGGAGGACCAGGAGTCCGGTAGCTTGTTTCAATACTGTCAGCCCAGCATCAGGAAGACTTCAAGTCTTATAAACACCATCAAGAAAACTTAGTGTCTTACACAATGGAATACTATGCAGCACACAGGAGCAATAACTTTGTATATTATTACCTAACTTGGGAGGGACTGGAGAGCATTATGCTGAGTGAACTATCTCAGTCCCACAAGGATAAATATTGTATAAGACCATTATAGTAGAAGGAGTATAAGGATCCAGGATGGGTGGGAGAGGCTAGAACTAGAGGAATGTGGATGTGCAGGGGAAGAGGGGATTAATCCTTGGGTTATACAATTTGATGGGGGGGAGTGAGGGAAATGGAAAGAATTTGTTCAAATTTGTATTAAAATTTTGTAAATAGACTAATAAAAAGAAAAAAGGCAACTTGTGGGTGGGGCAAGGAGGAAGAGGGGGTAAAATGTGCAAAAATGAATGCATGAAAATCTAGCTTTTCTGTAAACTTTTGTTAAAATGACAATTAAAATAAAAAATTTTATTTTTAAAAAAGAAAAGAAAACTTAGCATCTTATAAATAGCCCAGTGAGTCCATTTTGATTCACATAGACTAGGTTGAACAGAGTAGAACAGGCTTTGTTTCCTAGATACAGACTACCATCTTTCTCCCACGGGGCAACTTGGTGGGTTCAAATGCCCAGTCCTTTGATTGGTGGCTGAGTGTGTAACCACTGCACCACCAGGGCTCCTTTCCTCTCCCACGTTCACTCCCTGCCGTCAGGTCAGTCCTGACTCATCGCCACCCTCTATAGGTTTTCCAAGGCTGTAAATGTTAACAGAAGGAGGCAGCCCATCCTTCTCCCCTGCAGCTCTAGTGATTTGCACTCCTGGATGTGCATAGCTTTTTTGGTTAGCAACATTTGACTAGGACTAGGGACCTCTCAAGAGTACTGAAGAGCAATTATGTCAGGTTGGAGACTAAGGTGCACCTGATCCGGGCTATAGTCTTCGCAATTATGTGCTATGCATCAGAGAGTTGGACAGTGAATAGGGCTGATAGAAAGAGGATTGATGCCTTTGAGCTCTGGTGCTGGAGAGGAGTGTTGAATATACCATGGACTGCTAGGAGAACAAACAGGTTTGTCCTGGAGAGGGCGAAGCCACAGTGTTCCCTGGAGTCAAGGATTCTGAAGCTTCATCTGACATATTTTGGGCATGTTGCAAGGAGGGACTGGTCCTTGGAAAGGGACATCATGTTTGGCAGAGTGGATGGGAAGTGAAGGAGAGGAAGACCTTTGGTGAGATGGATCGATTCTGTGACTGGAGCAGTGGGAATAAGTATGTTTGAGATGGCGAGGTTGGCACAGGATAGAACAGCATTTAGAGCTCTTGTACGTAGGGTCGCTATGAGTTGCAAGCCACTCGATGGCACATAACAACAACAACAACAGTGACCAGTTACAGCAGTTACTAAAAAAACTATTTCCTGAATGAATGGATGAATGACTAAAAAACAAAAGCATTGGGTAAAGTCTTACCATACATCATATTCATTGTTATTTCTACTTTTCTTGTTCTTCCCAGAAATCGCCTGCTAAGAAGTTAACTAATGCGTTAAGCAAGTCTCTCAGCTGTGCTTCCAGCCGTGAACCTTTGCACCCCATGTTCCCTGACCAGCCTGAGAAGCCCTTGAACTTGGCTCATATCGTGTGAGTACCTCCACCTTGCCGCCTTTACCCTGTCCCCCGATCAAATGCCATATTTCTTCACTGACACAGATCTAGAAACACGCATTTTGTATCACTTGTCAGGTACCAAGTTTTGAAATCTAGGTAAAAAAGAAATGAAAGTGATGTCAGTGGATTTTTTTCTTGTTGAAGTATACAGAATTAACATAATTCAGCTAGAGGTGGAAAATATTAATAAAGCATAGTTATATGAAGGTTGGTGGACCTTTCTTGATGGGTAGTTGGCAATCAATAGAATGGTAAGAAAAATTTGAAGCATTTTATGTCTTAATATCATATGTGCTTCAGTCTCACACATACAATCTCTTTGTTTCATTTCTCTGCAGATCTTGTCATCTTAAAGATTTCATAAACCTAGAAATTGCATTTTTTAAATGAATTTATGACTAATGAAAAAAATAATTCAAAGTTACATAACTTTAAAAGCATCATCACATGGGCAAGGGAGAGGTGCAGTGATAGTGGAAAGAACGGAGCTTCCTCCCATCTACCCACCTGCCTCAAGATAAGAAAAGAGGCACAAGTAGGAGCAAAGGTTCTTCATTGCACAGTGGTTGTTAACGCTCGGCTGCCAACCAAAAGGCTGTCGGATCAAATCCACCCAAGAGCTGTTCAATAGAACTACATGGAAATATGTTTACATAAAGATCATAGAACCCATTGGGCTTGTCCTGCTTAGTCATGGGGCAGGGGCTGTCAAAATAGCTCAAAGACACGTAAAAAAAGATGGAAGAAAGCTTCTTCCTTGTAACTCACCTGGGCTCGAAAGATAAAGTACATGATTTGCTTCAGTGAACAATTAGGAATTATGAGTCACAGGTACCTCTGTAAGCCCCTAGTGAGATGAGTCCCCTGTTTATGAACTGCCTTTGGTTTGTCACCATCCAGAGGGTCCTATTGCACTGCCTGTTCTGTGTTTGCACATTGATATCAAGAGGTAAGATGTCCGGATCTATCCGTGTTAGAAGTTTAATGCAAAGTTCTGGCTAGTTCAGAATATGAAATAATCAATGCGATGGTGGAAGTGAGACCTTTGAGTAAGCAATGACTCTTTCCCCTGCTGGACTCATACAAATACCACCAAGTGGTTTGTGTTGCCTCATGTCTGTGAACTTTGTATAAGCAACAGGAGACTTTATTTTGTTTACTTCCAAATGTTCCAGGAGATCACAGTCTTCAACAATGCCCAAAGTCTGGCAGCTATTGTTTCTTAGCGGACATGCTTCATTGGCTTAGAGCCATAACAAGCAAACAAAAAGAATGTAAACCAATTTGCTAGAATATGATTACCTTCTTTTTTGAAATGATGCACCGATAGAAAGAAAGAAAGAGTTCTGTGGGTTTTGGGTGGTTTTGGTTTTTGTTTTTAAATCTTAAAATGTTCTTAGGACCAATCACTTGGTTACCTCAGAGAAGTTACCTCAAGTTGCTCCCCTGCTCTGACCTTCCCAGGAAGAGATATTACTAAGAACTCACCTTACCCTCTCACAGTCATTTAAAGGCAATCATTAAGGTGAACATGAGTAAAGAACATAGAGCGAGTTTGCGCTTTGTAAGCCCTCCCTCAAATCACTTCCTCCCAGTGCTGCCAACAGTTTCATTCAAATCTAACTACTGGGTGTGAGGAGAGAGGAGGCTTAAGTAACAACGGTCCTCAGGACACAATGGTTAAGAGCTCCGTTGCCAGCTGAAAAGATTACACATATTTAACCATAGAGAGGTGGGATGTGTCCTCCCACTTGAAGAGAACAAGGGGCTTTAAAGTAAAAATTCATTTCATAGTCATGCTGCAGAATTACCTCACAGGGCTTTTATCCAGTAAGGGCGTGTGTGTGTGTGTGTGTGTGTATACAGATGTGCACACTCATGAGTTATTCAATTAGCTGGTGAGTAATAATTTTTAAACGTTAATTTATGGAGATGATATATCTCATGTTACATGTTTCTTATCTGGGTTCTATAAAGAAATTTCTGGATACCCCCTTAAATTCTATTCAAAACAGCATATGTATATGATCAGTATGTATATGTACATATATTTATTTTAAAAATCCACATATTTAACCAGATAATCATTGACTCAAAATACTGATTTATACTCACAGATAATATATTTCCCCCCCCCAAGGTGAATATCTTCGTTTTATATAGCAAATTGTATGGTATCCTATCTGTGTTAAAACAGAATTGGTTTGTTGGGTTGTTCTGTTTCTCATTTTTAGCTGTCAACATTATTCTCTGTATTTATTTCCTTACATTAATGCTACAAACTGTTATTGATGTAATTTGTGAAGAAAGGGAATTTCCTAAGACATTTTATTTTAAAAATATGTTATACATTTAACTTTGCTAAATTATCCTACACACATAAAGACTACTCAAGTGAAAAAATAACTGTCCGTCTCCTTCAATATTTTACAAAAATCTTCTATAATGAACATAAGTCTGGAATTAATATTAGTCACACTTCTAAATGTATACAAGTGTAATTCTGTAAAATGTAACAAATATATATGACATTTCATGGCATAAGTCATTTTACCACTCAATGCTGTGCAATAGTATAAATTGAATGAAAATTTAAAGGAATAAAATACGCCAGCCCCTTTTCCACTCCTTTAATACTCTTAAATTATTGCAAATGTGACTTAAAATATAAAGATGTAAAGCAGACAGACTATCATAGTGAAAAAAACATTTTTAATAAGGAATGTTACTTGTCAAGTTATATTTTACATATAAAAATATATTCTTTAAAACACATATATAGCAGTACAAATATTTTCTAGCTGTGTCTCTGTCAGGGTCTCCCCTGCTGCTTGTTCAAAGGTAGAAAAGATATTTCTTAACCTTTCATTGCAGTAAGAAACACATATTTGTAATCTCAGGATAATACTCAAATGTATATTATATCTCTTTACACACATGCTTTACACCCAAAGGTAAGAAGGGAGCAGGTAGCAAAGGGTGAGTTTGTTATGCTGATGCACACACTCCTCTAAGTCATGTGCTGGCTGATTTGAAGTGGGGAATGTTACAGTATAAACCCAAGGGCTGTTCTTTTTATATTACAAAAACATGTTTATTGTGAAAAATTAGTGCAAATTCTTCTAAGAGATGTTCAAATAAAAGAGCATAGAATGCAAGTTTTTCTTAAGAGAAAGATAATTATCGTCCTTACACATTCCTGGAATAAAAGCAATGTTATAAAGCTCATGGAAGCGTAATATGTTATATACTATATAATCTTCTTAAAGGCACACAAACTACTATTTTTGGATATGTTCTCAAAATTGGTAAAACTCCTGTACCAGGTGCTAATGTTATGCAGTAAAAAGTCATTTTGACTCCGAGTGACCCTATGAACGGAGTCATTACAAAGTGTAAACGTAAATTGAGACAACAAACACATAGATTATGCTTGATGAGTGCATAATAAATAATTGAGGCTGTTGTAATTACTTACATAATATTCAGTACAAACTTTCAAGTGTGAAAAAAATGGCAAAAATGTGAGATAGTCTAACTCTGAAGCGTGATTAACCTTTTTAAAGCAAACTTAGATTCAAAAGTGCTTGACACACTAGAATTTTTTATAGATTACAGTACTATTATCACATATTTATACATATGGAAATTGACCATGTCACATACTCAAAATAGCTTTATTTTGTTAGAGCCAAAGGATTTTACACACATACATAAAGAAATACTTGCAGTCACAAATAATTCCTTAAGTACAAGCATGTGGTGACATTTTAGTATTTTTGGCATTTGTTGTAGCTATTGTATGGCTTATAAAAGTTACAATGATTAACATTCTTTGTTTTATTACATTTTTTGCTGCCCAAAGTGATACTTGGTAAGTAATTCAATATCCCCAGTGTACTAACAAAGACTTAGAAGCACAGTTTTAAGTGGTTAAGAGACACAGAATGTCCCTGGATGGTAAAACCATTTGTGTTTAACTACCTGTCTGAAAAGAAGTGCTCGGAGTGTCATGGGGGACACGGTACATGCTGGTCAGCTAACTGAAAGGTTGGGGGTTTGAACCTTTAAATCCACCAGGGGCTCCCCAGGAGAGAGATGAGGCAGTCTTCTTCTGTTAAGGTGTATAACCCTGGAAACTGGGTGTGGGGTCAACATGAGTTAGAATACACGTGGGTAGTAGTAGATTTGGATTTTTTTTATTTTATTTTTTGTTTTGTTTTATTTTCCTAAAGTCCCATAGAAAGAAATCCCAGCAATGTACTGCTGTAAAGATTTCAGTCATGAAAATGCCGTGGTATGAAGCAGTTCTGTTTTACAACTCCTGGACTTGAGTCGGAATCAACTTGATGGCCATGAGTCTAATTAATTTGGTGTCTGAGGCTCAGTATGTCCAAAGATCTTGATCTGGAAGATTCCCTGAAAGATCCATCCCTGGGACTTACCTTATCTTCTGCAGCTTATTTGTTTCTTTTCTTTTTCTCTTTCTTTTTTTCCATAAAAGTCAATACTTTTAAAATCCCAGATGACAGCCATTTATTCAATAAGATACTTTAGCACTTAATAATTGAGGAAATGGGAATTTCTGCTTCTTTGAAAAATACTGTTTGATGCCCTGGTTAACCATTCATTACAGGTCACTCATGAACCTCAAAATTTGGAAGAAATTAAAAAAGATACCATTTCAATTCCAAACAAGCTTCAATTTTATCTTGGCTTCCATGAAAGATATTCCAAGATAAGGTTAAACTGGATTTAGCTGTAATTATAATTTTATAACAATAACCATTTTAAACAAATTTACCAAGCAAGTTTAAAAAAACAATTCAGATCTCATTTGTTGGAGACAGGACAAGATGAGAAAGGTTTTCTAAAAAGAAACCTCAAATATGGGATAAGTTTTGCTTTAACACTGCAAAGTTTCAATGAAAATATTTCCTTGATATTCTTCATTTCTCATAATTTACAATAGGCATCCTTCTTTTAAAATGAAGGTGTTCAACTCAAAGCAGAATTCATTTTAGCTAGCCTGACACTAGAGTACTGAAGAGCAATAATGTCAATCTGGAGACTAAGATGTGTCTGATCCAGGCCATGGTCTTCACAATTACTTGCTTTGCATCAGAGAACTGGACAATGACTAAGGATGACAGAAGAAGAATTGATGCTTTTGAGTTGTGGTACTTGAGAAGAGTATTCAATATGCCGTGGACAGCTAAGAAAAGGAATAGTTCTGGCTGGGAGAGGGTAAAACCATGCTGCTCCTTGGAAGCAAAGATTTTGAAGCTCCGTCTGACATTCTTTTGTCAGAGGGACATGATGCTTGGAAGGGTAGAGGGACAAACGTAAAAGAGGAAGATACTGGATGAGATAGATTAACTCAGTGACTGGGGTTGTGAGGGTAGATGTGTCAGAGACGATAAAATTGCCTCAAGATAGAGCAGGGTGCAGAGCTGTGTACATAGAGTTGCTATGAGTCAGAGTCGACTCCACAGCACATAACAACAATACAACAAGTCTAATATTGCTCATTTGTATTAACGATACATTGTAAGTTAGCAATGTAAGGCACTAAAATAGTTTCTAGAATTTCACCTAACCTGTTTAGAGTAAATGAAATAGTTACGCTATGGTTAATCCTAGAGTCTCAAGACTTATTTCCAAAAATGACTGGAAAAACACAACAGAAAACTACCAGAAGTGCAGGCTGGGTTTAGAAGGGGTCGTGGTACTGGGGATATTGTAGCTAATGTTAGATGTATCTTGGCTAAAAGCAGGAAATACCAGAGGAATGTCTGTGTTTCATTGACTATGCAAATGCTTTTGACTGTGTGGATCATAACAAACTGTGGCTGACTCTGAGAAGAATGGAAACCCCAGGAGACAGTCTTCAGAATTGAGAAACACTGAATGGTTCAAAATTGGGAAGAGTGTACTCCAGGAATGTATCCTATCTCCATACATTTTCAACTTATAAGCAGAACTGATTATCAGGGAGGCTGGGCTAGATGAGGAGAAATGTGGCATCAGGATTGGAGGAAGACTCATCAACAATCTGTGTTATGCAGATGACACACCCTGCTTGCTGAAACTTAGGAGGACCTGAAGCACTTGCTGCAGAGGGTCAAGCACTGCAGCCTTCAATATGGATTAAAGCTCAATATCAAGAAAACAAAGATTCTCACCACTGGGGCTATTGGCACAATCATGATGGATGGTGAAGAGATTGAGATTGTAAACAGCTTTAGTTCACTTGGCTCCACAATCAACACTCTTGATACCAGCAGCCAGGAAATTAAAAGACAAATTGCATTGGGAAAATCTTCTGTCAGAGACCTCTCCAAAGTACTGAAGAACAGAGGTGTCATTCTGGAAACTAAGGTGCACCTGATACAGGCCATGGTCTTTGTAATCACTTCCTATGCATCAGAGAGCTGGACAATGACTAGGAATAATAGAAGGAGAATTGATGCCTTTGAGCTGTGGTGTCGGAGAAGAGTATTGAATATATCATGGACTGCTAAGAGAATGAACAGGTTCATCCAGGAGAGGGTTAAACCAGGATGCTCCTTGGAGGCAAGGATTATGAAACTTCGTCAGGCATGCTTCAGACAAGTTGCAAGGAAGGACCAGCCCTATGAGAAAGATGTCATGTTTGGAAGGGTAGAGGGACAGCACAGGAGAGGAAGACCCTCAATGAGATGAATTGATTCAGTGACTGGGGAAATGGGGGTAAATGTATCATATCAAAGACAATAAAATTGGCACAGGATAGAGCAGAGTTTAAGGTCTGGTGTACATAGGGTCACTATGAGTCAGAGGCAACTTGACAACACATTAACAACAGAGTCTTGAAAGCAAAAATAGCCGTGAGTTTTTTAATACAAGACTAAAATTTTTAAATTGCTTAATGTAGTGTCTATTTCCATAAATAAGTTACATTAAATAATTCTATCTTTTTCCTGGAAGATCCTTTTTGCATAATTTCAAATACATCATGTTTCCTGAAGTAAAAATTAAACCATTTCACGAATTCGTATCTCAATCACAGGAACGTCATTTGATTCCAGAGTCTACTGTAATTAATATCTCATCTTAGGATTGAAAATGTCTCTACCAGCAAGTTCAATGAGAATTCTTATAACAAACTCAAATTTCTGCTGACTCAAAAGATTGTCGTGTTCCATCATAGTCTCCGTCTTCTGATCTAAATCCCTTTGCATCTTCTTATGGAATACCTTACACAGAAGCTAAAATAAAGCTAAAATGTGTTGAGAGATGATCTTGTTATCCTAATTATATCATTTCTTGTTTTTGGTTTTTTTTTTTTTTGGTTTACTCTAACACATCAGAGATGGGGAAAGGGTAACAATAGGAGGAGAAAAATGAGACAAAGAGTGATTGAGTTGAGATAGTAGGTGGTTAGGACCAAGAGCAATTCTGAGGAATACTGGACACTGTTTTCTCTCATCTTAATTTTTAAAAAGTCAAGTTTCTAGAACATCTTATATTTATTCATTGAAATATGGATCACTAAGTTGTAGAAGCTCAGTGGATCCTTGTGGAGATTATTCACATCTAAACTTACAACAGCAACCCATTGAAGCATGAGGTGATTTTGCGGCCTTCCAGATGCAGCTAAGTCTCCATCCAGACTGGCCACACCAGGAGAGAAATGATGATCCTTGTGCTCAGAGAGGATGTTTCTGAGACTTCAGAAATTGTTCTCTTTTCAAGAGGCTATAGTTTCTGGGGATCATAAAGTTTCCAGAGATTTTCCTGCTTGAAAGTGGTGCGGGGGGTGGGGGGGAGGCACGTGAAATTGTTGTTCCATTCCAGAATGTGAGTGAATGAAACACTAAAGCTTAAAGCTTATGGATAAACAAACCTGTGATGTCTGGGAATATTCTTCTCAGTATTTTGTTGAGATTATGTCTTTTTGGGAAAATGTGACTTGAGAACATGAATATGTTTCTTAGGACTGCTATCCCAAATCTCCCTAAATGTGGTGGTTTAAAACATCAGAAATGCATTGCCTCTTAGGTGTGAAGACTAATATCAAAATGACAGTGGGGTCATGTTCCCTCTAAAGCCTCTGTGGAGGAAAGAACAAGTCTTGTTCACTTGTTCCTGGCTTCTGGTGGTTCCTGGCCATCCTTTGTTTATAGATTCATTACTTCAAACCACATTTCCCTTTTCATGGTCATGCTCCCTCTGTGTCTGTACCTGTGTCTCTTCTGTTGTGTAAGGACATGTCTCCTATTATATTATGCCTCAACGTTCTCCAATATGACCGCATGTTCACTGATAATGTCTTCAAATCATCTTTCCAAACTAGATCACAGGGAAGGAAGACAGGTTAGAACTTCACCATATTTTACGAGGAAACACAATTCAATGCATAGCAAAACACGCAATGAATCTTTACCAAAGATTTAATTGTGAGGTAAGGTTTTCAAGTAGCGTTTAGCAGTTGGGACTTTTTGGGAAAGCAAAGGCCACACTCCACCATGGGCTATTCCACTTAGTATAGTTCTCTACTCATTTGTGGCCTGCATGATTAAAATGAAAGAAAAAAAACAAAACCAAAAAACACTCAGTGAATCTAATTTGAACCTGTAAAATTTCCTATCTGAACATAGGCAAGATAGACAGTTGATCTTTCCAGCCTCTTTCCTAGAGAGATGGAGGATAAGTTCCTGGGGTTTGTTTGGTTCTGGTGTATTTTTCTGTGTGTTATGTTAACTTTATTTCTAAATTTTATTTCAGGCCTCCCAGACCTGTAACCAGCATGAACGACACCCTGTTCTCCCACTCTGTCCCCTCCACAGGAAGCCCGTTTATCACCAGGAGGTAAGTTTCACTCAAACTATAAAATAAATTCTCTCTTTGATAATGAGCCTTGATTCTGTGGCAAGAAAAATGGTATAAAAATTTGGAGAGAAATTGTTGTTGATGATTGGACAACACGATGAGCATAGTGGATGTGGCTGTGCATGTAAAAAAAGTTACATGTATATGTTCAAATGAAAGCTGTTTTGTTACATCCAGAAGCATAGATATTTACCACTGTAACAGGAACAGGAAAGATCAGTGATGGAAACTAGTTTGTAAATATATTTCATTCATATGAATGCCCTGGAAGAGGGCTGTTGCCTTTTTGGATTAATGTCACTTCTGACATTTATAGTCTATGAACAGTAAGAATGTGATGTATGCTTGCATTTTACTACTGTCACACATGCGTTATACCTCATTGGGAAAGTCATTTTCACAGCTCTCATAGTGGCTTGTTTAAGACAGGAAATTGGAATTTTTGAGATGCAGTGGTGTATTATCAGATACATCCCGGTATTTAAAAGTTCAGCTATAAAAGAAGCTTCTTTTTGGTGAGTCTCTAGAACTAGACACTGAAAAGAGTTTCCTTATAACAAATTTCATGGATAATAACAATATTTTTAAAATGTATATTTATCTGTGTAAGATCCAGTCCTATGTAAACAAAGAGAAGGGCAAACTTTTACTCCTTAAGAGTTATCCAGTATAAGTATGCAGGAGTCAGGAGGTTTACAAAGTCATTCCATCAACTACCATGACTAAAGTACCAGAAAATTAATTCCTAAGTTCTAAAAGAATATTCACAAGAAAGCAAAATCAAAGATAAGGAAAATAGGAGTTAGCACTAAATGTAAGCTTCCAAATGCCTTTCAGCGGAAAGAAAGAAAAAAGTGCAACCTTATATTCTCATATTTCACAAAACAAACAATTATCTTTTTCTTGAAGAGGTTTCTGAGCTATAAATTTCACTCTCATAGCTTAGACCGTTGAAGACAGTGAAATTCAGGCCACGGCCGGGCTTTTCCCCTCCCTGAGTTCCTGTACTTGTGCATCAGAAAGAACCAGAGATAAAGATGATTCCCATAATTGTAATTAGCAGAGTAAAAAGAATATGGCAGTACTTAGTGTTGTGGTTGTATAAATTAAGCGAGTCAGTAACAAGTGGAAGGAGACAATTGAACTACAAAACATCCACAGTGAAATATGATGGCTTAAGCCCTCAGTAACTTACTAATAGTGCTTCTTTCCAAAACCTACCAGTAAATCTAGTCAACCATCTTTTCTTGGGAGGGGGAAGCCAACCCATAAACTATAAAGTTTATGAGTGGACCGGCCAGAGCATCAGTGCAGGGAACACCAGACATAATGATGGTTAGAAAGATGTGCTTTTTTGGAAGGGAGTGCTATATTCTGCAATGTCAAGCCAAGATAGACCCCAACCTTACTGAAGGTCATTTTATATCATTTCAGCTTGGACGGTGCACATGGTGACTGCGTCTAGATGGATAACTTGGCTTCCTCTACCCTAACAAGTCCCTATAATACTCTGAACTGTTTTGTTTCCTTCAGGGTACCCACTAAGCCAATATATTATCATTTCCCTTTTTTGTCCTATTTCAATCCTTCTAGAATATTCCCTGTAAACCACAGATGTGTTTTTTAAAGCGTACAGTTCTTCCTATCACCTGAGATTGGCCTCTCAGTTCTGTTCGAAGGGTGCTGCTGTTTAATAAAGCTGCGTACACTCAATGTCTTTCCTCTCTGAGTGGGCCTTGCTCTGTCCATGGGAGGTTGTAATGAGGTCTCATTGTTTGCATCCCTCAGGTTACTTGAGGGAATAAGTGCACCCAGCCCTGAGGCTGACGAACATTCCCTCATAAAGCTGTATGTCAATCAGCTTGACCACGGCGAACGGTCAGTATCCTAGCCCCAAGTCACTAATCATAGTAGTAGTTCCGTAGCTAGACTCTTAGTCCTTTCATTCCATCACTAAAATCCTCTTGCAGCATGTTTCAGGGGAAATAAAGTTTTTCTGGCCCTTAATGAGACTCTTTAGAGAATTTCCAACTTGAGCTGGATGTGTCTATGTTCTCTCATTTCTACTTACAGTATTCCAATTGCATTTATAGCCTCACAGTAGTGTATATGAGATGCAGATATGTGACAAGTACCAGCTAAGCCTTCTTGGTTGGATGAGTCTGATTTTGTACAGTTTACAAGGCCTCAGATGATGACTCCTACAACTCTTGATTTAAAGAGCCTCGTGAACCCACCATTAGTAAGGCGAGGACAATGTCATAGAGCTGGATTGTATTAAAAGCAATTTATACTTTTTCTGTTCTGCTGTTCCTGAGCCACATTTTTTTAATCCAGGTAGGACAATCAGATTCCTATTAAAGTAACAGTTTCTAAATCAATTTTGTGCTGTTGGCACTTCATTATACATATACTTGGTAATGCTAGAGGTGGTTTCACTGTTAAATTTGTAACTGTCTTTGCACTAAGTTAGGTAGAGGTCCATCATGCTGGAGATGTAGATATTGGTTGAAGACTCTTTTTCTGTTATTAGAGTGGAACCCAAAACGAGAGGATCAGAACTCTATCTTCCTTCACTCATGTTCCTTTCCAACTGACTCTTTTAATGTAGGATAAAATCAAACAAGTCAAACTAGTGTTTGTCAGTGTTAAGGCAGCACTGAGAGAGAACATAAGGAACTTTGTCACATAGATATTTTTATTTTACCTTTATTTCTAGGCGTCTCTATTGTGATAGTTCTTAAAAAGATAAAGCCGAGTGAAGATGAATTGCAGGCTCCACCTCAGCGTCTCTCACTACAGACGCCTGCCTGGCATTACTCACCTAGGAGCCTTTACAAGTGGGCATCTTTGATCCTCAAATAACACTAGGTCTATCATTGAAGCCTTTGGCATGCTAGTAATCTACTTCACACAGCTTTACTAGTATAAAATTCTGGCTACCAGCACCATGGGCCATAGCTCCAGTTGCTAGCTCTATACCTGATGCATTTGTCCAAAGCTTAATTTAAAAAGGGGGTCGGTCTTCTCGTGTGTATGTGTGTGTGTGTGTGTGTGTGTGTACGTGTGTGCAGGCACACATGCTCCATGCTAATTACAAGTTAGATAGGATATGGGTTTCATGACACAAATCAGTGCCCAAGTTGTTTATTTTCTTGACCATAAACTGTTGTATTTCTAAGCCTGCATTGTTTCCTTAGACATGCATGAATTTACCTAGAGACTACCTCAATTAATGGAAAGCCACCATCATGATAAAAATAGGAGCTCACAGTGTGAAGTGGGTAAGGACGAGCAATGTTAACTGGGCTTTTGAAGATAGCAAATAATTACTGTAAACTGTATAGTGATGCTGACCACAAATCCAGATGCAGAAGACTCTTTTCTTTGTCCACTTCACTTCTCAAAGCATTACTATTTTCTTTATTGACCTATTTTCTATATTGATATCATGCCCATTTTTTAAAAATATTAATACTTTTGCAAAAATACTTGCCTGTCTGTTTCCCTTGTCTAAAATAAGTTTCACCCTTCTGACATGGAACAAAACTCAGCATGGTGGCTCAATTTTTAGTCAGAGAATAGACAGTGTGTGAGGTGAACAGTAATCCCAGAGAGGGGACTCCCTGCTTCTAATGATCAGCCATTCAAGATAGAAAAGCTATCATTTACCCAGGGATGAAGCTTAGAAGACAGGAAGGAGTAAGATAGAATGATACTCAGTATCTTACAACAAAATGTGTGTGAATGAAAAATGAGTTTACTTTGTCAACTTTCACTTAGGTCACAATGGGGATAAAATGGTTTTTAATTATGTACCATCTTCTTCATTGGCCACAGTATAGAAACTGAGAGTCTGAGTTAATAGTCTTTTACCTCCAATATTAGACACATGACTTGAAGGTTTCGCGTTTATTTTCCTAGTTGTAACTGCTAAGGTTGTGATCACACTACCAAATTGTTATTGTTGTTGTTACCTGCCAGTGAGTCACCTGTGACTCAAAGCAATGCTATGTACAAAAGCCCTAAAACCCTCCTCTCTCCTGTGCTAATCTTATTGTCTCCAACACATCTACCTCCATACCCCAGTCACTGAATCAGTCCATCTCATCGAGGGTCTTCCTCTCCTCTGTTGTCCCTCCACCCTCCCAAACATGATATCACTCTCCAAGGACTGATCCTGCTTTACAACACATTCAGAATATGTCAGACGAAGCTTCAGAATCCTTCCCTCCATGGAACATCTTGGTTTAACCCTCTCCAGGACAAACCTGTTCATTCTCTTAGCAGTCCACGGTATATTCAATACTCTTCTCCAACACCACTTCTTAAAGGCATCAATTCTCCTTCTAGCATACCTCGTCAGTTATTAGAAAAAATGTTTTCTAAATCAGAGAGTGGCAATGCCATCTAGCATGCACTTTTCTGATTTAAAATGGCAATGAGTGTCTACTGACCCAGTGTTTGACTCAATAGTGTGAGAAAGGCACCTCATTCACCTAAATGCTTGTCAAACCTGAGTTTGTCCCAGTGCAACAGTGTTTGAGTGAGTTGGTTTTAATTTTCAACCAAAGAAAGGTTCACTTCACTATGTCTCCTTTAGCTGCTTCCCCTCACCAAATCTTTTTGCTTTCTCAAAGATTCTTTGCCTGTCGGTGTAGGCTTCTGATCTAAAAGTGTTCACACTAAATTTTACACATTTGTGCTTTGGAAATCTAAAGTAGAAATAAAATTGAAGAGAGCTCTGGTTGCCTAGTGGCAAGAAGCTGCACTGCAATCAATCCTGAAGCCACGCAGTTCGAATCCACCAGATTCTCCGCTGGAGAAGGAGGGGCAGTCTCCTCCTGTGTCAATCAGATCTGACTCGATGGTACACAAGAAGGAAACAAAAAAATAGAAATAAAATTGAGGGACTGAATTCCATCTCTATACCTAACAATTAAAAAATTGTTGATTAAAATTTAATTAGTTGCTAAGTAAATTATGGCTCATTTTTTTGTTCATCTGCAGTTCACTTTTTTCTGGGCATGTTGTGTGGAATTATCTGGAGTTAGTCTGTGGTCTGTGTTATATCAGAGCTCCACTATTGTGATAGAATTTTTCAAATTTGAATTAAATAAGTCTTCATGGAGTATTCCAATTGCTTATGTTAAAATATGAATACATAATTAAGAGCACTGTCGACCTTCTCTTCACTTTGACACCGTCTCCCTCTTATTAGAGATGCTCTTTATTTGTCTGCACATGCCCTTCACCTACCATCACTTTCAAGAGGCTTTCTTTGCAAAAGTACAATTAATGCAGATTTTCTGTATTAGAAACAACCCAGTAAACATGGTAAATCAAATATAACCTAAGAATTCTTCTTATTTCTTCTGTGATAAATATTCAAGATGGTTCAACGTTCATGCTAGTGTGAGTGAACCACAGTTTGCTCCCTGAGAACAGTTTTTTGGTTTTTTTAAATTTTTTTTATTTTATGTGTGTGTGTGTGTGTGTGTACCATCAAATCGGATCTGACTGGTACAGGAGGAGATTGTCCCTCCTTCCCCAGCAGAGCATCTGGTGGATTCGAACCGTGCGCCTCTGGGATTATAGTGCAGCTTCTTGCCACTAGGCCACCAGAGCTCCCCTGAGAACAATTTTTATGTACCTTTGTTAAATAGCACTTTTATTTCCAATCTAAGACATTGAAAACTGGAAAAGCAAAGGAAAGCGGAAGACTCCAACTGAATTTACATTTGTTATAGCTTCAGTGTTAAACCGTGTTTAAAATAGTGAAAAGGTAAATTTTATCTACTTAATTGAGGGTTTCTTAAGGAGACAACCAGTTTCGCAAACCATTTTTCACATGCCCAAAATTAACACAAGTTATGAAATTATTTAAACATCACTGAAAATGAAAATATATCTCTTAAATTGCCATTGTTCAGGTATTGTTTTCCTTTTAAATATTGTGATAATTACAATCTCACACTATATAATTTAGCTCTACAGTGGTATTGCTCTGGGAAGTCACATCTTCACCTTTAATTCATGTTCAAGAAGAAAAGAAAGGTATAGGCACATAATTTCATGAATTGAATACAATTCCCCTCATGACTTGTGTTCTAAAAGACACATGGCTCACACATGTTAAGTTTAAGAGGTTAAAGGTGGGATACATTTTGATTTGAGGACATAGGATGTAAACTGAGCTAGAATGGCATTATGGGAAAGCCATCATTCTGTTCTGACACACTGATGTGCCCACCTGCTTATCCCATAAGAAGAAAGTACATCCCAGTGTGCTTGTGGTCTGACCCTAAGGTCCACAATGGATGGGAAACATCACCCAACTTCATGTAAACTACTCAGATACAAAATGAAAGTTTCAAAATCTAAATTACTATGCCAAAAGTTGTAAAACTATGTTGCTTTGGGTTAAAACAGACTAAGATTGGATTAAAACAGACTAGGAACAGAAGAGGAACATGTTTTGGGTAAAATAAAATATTGCCATTACATTTGTAGCTTAGGGGATCTTTTGTCACTTCCTTAAGTCTTTGGGAGCATCAGAAGAGAAACTGATGGAAGACCCAAGTTTTAAGTGAATATACTCTTCATCCAACTCTCTGTTTCCTTGATATAATTTTAGAAAAGAAGCTTTGTGAGTTTTCTCCTTTTTACCATTCAGTTGGCCTCCCCAGTCAGTCATATTTTTAACTTAAGAAGTGATAAATAAAAGAATTTGATAGAAGGTACAGAACCTATAAGGACATTAGTTCCAAAAGTCAGAAATGCCCCTCACACTAAAAATTAAGTGCTGTAACAAAACAAAACATTCATTTCTGCAAACCCAAATGCAGATTGTATAACCCCCATATTTTCCAAATATTCATTTGTTTCCAATCTTTCCATTTCCAGGTTTCTGTTTCCCAGAAAATCAGACAGAAAGTTAGATGGGGCGGGGGGGGGGGGGGGGGGGGCGGGTCGGGGGGAGCAATGTAGTTCCTGAAGAAGGGGGGGGTGGGGGGGGTGGAGTTTCGATGATTCCTTCAAGCCACTCACTGGCAGAGAAAATGCTGTTAAAAGAAATGGAGATATTGTGTGTTGAACATCTAGTCTTCTGCTTGAGACAGGGAAGTACCTGGAAATAGGGAGAAGAAGAAGATGGGAGACAGAAAACAAGAGTCAAGGGGCCCAGAGATTAAATGAACCATATAAGGAAAAACTAGCCAGCTAGGACCTTGTCCCTCCACCCCCCAGCCTTGCACTCAGCTGATGGCAGCAGTCCCAATGACAAAGCAAGGCGTGGAGCTGGATTTCCAAGCCTTTACTGATAGATCTTTTCCTCCCATAAGATTTCACCAGGGTCGTTCCCATCCTGAGCCTCTTGTGTTTCTCATCACAACTGGTTCCTTTTTTTTCCTCTTCTTACACATTCAGTATCAAATATTCTACCTGAATAGTTACTAGATTTTTATTATTATTATTCAAGAAAAAAAATACCACTGCAGCCTCTAGAATTCAAAGAACAAGAAACTGTCAACCCAAAGGTAATGACTCAGGTCTGAATCTACCAGCTACTCCACAGGAGAGGATGGACAATCCTCCCTGCACGGCTTACTGCCTCTGACTCTTTCAACTCAACAGCAATAACCATAGTGAGCACAGCCAACACTGTTTTAAAACAAGAATTTCCATTCTGTATATCATTTTTATACAGCTATTTATTATTATTATTATTATTCATTTCAATGAACATTTACAGAGATTGTGAATTTCCATTCATTCATTGTTGCACTTTTCTCCCCTCCCCCCCAGTTCTCTCGTCTTTAAAAGCAAAAGAAAAACTCCTTCACTGGTACACAATCCCCCTGCACCCTCCCACCCTCACCCCGAGTATACTCCACTCTGCAACCCTCATTCCAAACTCTTATGATAATCATAATGCCCTAAAATATCATTCTAAAAGGGGTACCCACCCACTGCCAGGAAGCTGGATTCCAGCAATCCTCCGTCAAGTTTCTGAGGCTGTAATTCTTCAGGGGGCTGAAGGCTAAGCACCTTTTTCTAGGAGCAGTGAGTGGATTCAAATTAGTGATCTTTCAGTTAGCAACCCAACACGTTACTGAGTGCGTCAGCAGGGCCCACTGTCATGTGAGGACTCGTGGAACTATGGTGAGGACTCATGGAACACACACACCTCACCTATAAATCGACTCAACTTATTTCTGTCGAATAGGAATCACCTCATAGCTGACCCTCCTGTGATTATCTGGAGGCTATAAAGGGCACAGGATTCTGAAGGTCTCTTGTTTTGGAAGTAAATGGCTAATCCTCCTCCCTTGTCTGCCTTAATTTAGATGTTAAACTTAGTGCAATAACTGGCAGACAAATACTTTACCCAGAAAAGCAGATGAACTTCACTTCCCATTGCAAAAGGAACCAATTTAGTGTTGGTTCCCCACTCCCCTTTTTGGCACCTGTTATTTGGCACCAGCTATCAGGAAATCAAATTTGCATTAGGGAAATCTGCTCTCGGGGACCTCTCCAGAGTACTGAAGAGCAAAGATGTCAGTCTAGAGACTAAGGTGTGCCTGATCCAGGCCATGGCCTTTACAATTACTAGCTGTGCATGAGAGAGCTGGATAATGACTAAGGATGACAGAAGAAGAATTGATGCCTTTGAATTGTGGTGCCGGGGAAGAATACTGAACATGCCATACATGGACTGCCAAGAAAACTAACAGGTCTGTCGTGGAGAGAGTGAAACCACGCTGCTTCTTGGGGGCAAGGATTCAGAGACTCTGTCTCACATACTTTGGGCATGTAGCTTGGAGGGATCAGTCTTTGGAGAAGGATATCATGCTTGTAAGGATCAAGGGACAGTGCAGGAGAGGAAGGACCCAGATAAGATGGATTGACACAATAACTGGGTTAATGAGGGCAGGTGTGTCTGAGACAGTGACATTGGCTCAGGATAGAGCAGCGTTCAGAGCTATTGTTCACAGGGTTGCTATGAGTCATAGCTGACTCAACAGCACATAACAACAACATATGGCACAGAAAAAGATTGTCTATCCTTCACCTTTCTCTTATTTTAAAAAGTTTAATTCACCATATAAATTACTAAGTTTAAAAAGAAAAACATTCCTAAGATAAGAATTTGCTGTGTGGATGAGCTTTATTCACCAGATATGTATCTAGGAGCTCTCGTGGCCTGGTGATAAGAAGCTACACTGCAATACCAAAGACATAGAGTTCAAATCCACCAGTTGCTGTGTAGGAGAAGGATGAGCAGTCTCCTCCTGTGGGATTTACTGCCTCTGAAAACCCACTGGAGGGCCAGCTCTGAGTCAATTCTAACTTGACAGCAAACAACAACAATGTATTTAATATGGTCACAAAGAATACAAATTTAACAAACACCATCATAAGGCCTAAAGGCTTATTTCTTGGTTTCCCTGAAAATTTTCTTTGGAGCTTCACCTCCAGAGTCAGGTAACTTGAGCTTGGATTAGTAAATCATTTCTAATATTGCAGAATATCTAACTAGGATTTACCATGTGTACCATGGTAGGTTGCTAACCGAAAGTTACACAGTTCAAATCCACCAGCCACTCCACAGTAGAAAGGTAAACTGTCCCCTCCCAGAAAGGTTTACAGCCTCAGAGACTTGCTAGAGAGTTTATGAGTTCAAATAGACTTGAGGGCCATGGATATCCTTTTAATTTAGTCATCACAGGAAGTTGAATGATTTCTAAAAGGCTGGCAAAAGTAGACACTCTTAAACAGAATCTACAGGCTGGCAGGAGTTAATACACTATTGAACTGTTTATAGTAATGTTTACTGTAGTGAATGAGGAGAGCTGTCATCATGAATAGGCATTTGCATTGTAAATACGTGTTAGTGAATCAAACAGGAGTCAAATCAAGAATGATGGTGGCTGGAATTTCTATTACAGTTGTGGCTCCACTCTTGGTTTGAACTCTGTGGACACTTAAGAACATCTTGAACATTTTAAAGTAATGAGAGATTCGTCCAAATGGAGTTTGGCTATGGAACTTGGAAGTGTCTGTTGCCAGTTTCTGTTCTCTAATGCGTTGCCGTGTTTACGCTCTTCTTGGCTTTCCCATCTTATTAACTAGCTCTCCTCCCAAGGACAGTGAAGTAGAGCAGAACAAACTTCTGGCTAGGGCTGCACCAGCTTTCCTGAAGGGCAAAGGGTAAGTGAAAGAGAGTGCCAGAACCCTGAGCTAATAAACTAAACCAGATACTTCTTTTGTCAAGCGTTGTGTTTGAAAGCAGTTGTGTCCTAACCCAATTAACAGCACTGAATAGTTCTTTTGCAACATTCACAGCATCAGTGTTGTTACTTACTTTCCCTTCTTTTTTCTTTGTCAAATAACTGAGCTGAAGTTTTGATTTCCCAATAGATATTTAATCTTTGTTTGCAACCCACTGTGTTTCCTGTTGAAATTAATTCCTTGGCCTGAGCGGTTTGAAGAGTGCAAAACTGTTTCCTTGGAAGATACCTAACCTACGTGGAAGTCTTCCTTTTTTGAAGTTGGTGGGATGTGATTGTGAACTTCATTGGTTGGATTTGGGTGTGTTTTTCATAGCACCCCCCTTCCTTTGCTCGCCTGGTTTCCTAAATGCCCCTTCCACTACAGACTCCCTGCAGCCTGCTCTGCATGCTTCTGTCCAGGTCTTCTAACAAGCCCTCTCTTTGCTCCTACCCCTCTTCAGGATTCAGTACAGCCTCAATGTGGCAAACAGGCTAGCTGACGAACATGTGCTCATCGGGTTGTATGTCAACATGCTCCGGAACAACCCGTCCTGGTTAGTGCAGCTTTGGCCATTTGTCTGCTGTTTAAGAAGGGGACAGTCTGATCTGGTGACAAGCAGTCTCCACAAAGAGCAAAGTCAATGGATGAAAAAAGAAAACAAATGCCACTAGGTCACTTTTACAGTGATTCAATTAAGCTGGCTCGTGGTGATGTTACTCTGAAAATGCTTCCAGTTAATGCACCTTGTATTCATATCCTTGTTTATATCTTAGCTAGTTGTGTAGGTGGTTGTTTTGACAAATGCTAGCATTGAGATGGAAGCCAGACTCTAAGCCCCTCAGTCAGTCCTCTGTGCGAATCGTGTAGATTAACACACAACAGTGAGTTGTGTGAGAATTTGTCTTAATCCAAAGGCATGGGTATCTCTACTGATTTGGAAAACAGTGCTTCACTTCACCAATGATGAAAGTGAAGAAAAGGAGTAAAAGTGATGAGACAGGATAATAAAGTGGGACTCTTTTCTTTAATGATGATAACAGTGGGAGAAATTATCTTTTTTCTATTACCTACAATTGACTCCAAGTAACCACATAATAAAGTCTGCTTCCAAGTCCCAAAATAAGCAGAAGTTACTTTCAGGTGTGTTAAATCTCAGAATGCAGGCAGTCTTTTGGATAAAGACTTTCATAGTTTTATATTTTATTATGACACAGATGGATCTCATTAGTGAAAGTTATTATTGTTATGTGTCATCAAGTCACTTGCGACTCATAGTGACCCCATGTATAACAGCCCTGAAACCAGCTCTATCCTGTGCTAACCTTATTAGCTTTGACATACCTACCTACCCCCATTACCTCAGTCACTGAATCAGTCTGTTTTGTTGAGAGTCTTCCTCTCTTTCACTGTCTCTCCACCCTTTCAAGCATTATTTCCCTCTCCAAGGACTGGTCCCTCCTTGCAACATGTCCAAAGTATGTCAGACAAAGCCTCAGTATCCTGTCTCCAAGGAGCAACCTTGTTTCACCCTCTCCAGGATGAATCAGTTTGTTCTCCTAGCATTCAGTACTCCACCAGCACCACAGTTCAAAGGCATCAATTCTCCTCTATCATCGCTAGTCATTGTCCAGCTTTATGACACATAGCAAGGAATTGCAAAGGCTATGGCCATGGTGGACAGTGTGTGGTGGAGCTCCCAGTTTAAGACAGATTTGGAAGCACGAATGGCATCCACTTCCTAAACAGCATGCCTTTGGAAATACTATGAATGTTGAGAAATTATGATAGTTATAGATAGAAAGGCTTCAGGTCTTTTGTTCACAGAGTCATTATGAGTCATGCTCGATTCAAAGGCAATCAACAATAACAACAGCCTGGATCAGGTGCACCTTAGTCTCCAAATTGATGTCATTGCTCTTCAGTACTCTGGAGAGGTCCCTGACAGCAGACTTTCCCAATGCATTTATATTTTTATCTTCTGGCTGCCAGCACCAAGAGTGTTGATTGTGGAGCCAGGCAAATTAAAGATATTAATAATTTCAATGTCTTTACTGTCTATCATAATGATGTCAATAGGCCCATTGGTGAAAATATTTATTTTCTTGATGTTGAGCTTCAATCCATATTAAAGGCAGCAGTCCTTGACCTGCAGCAAATACTTCAGATCCTCCTCAGTTTCAGCAGAGTTGTGTCATCTGAATAACACAAGTCATTAATGAGTCTTCCTCCAATCCTGATGCCACACTCCTCCTCATAGAGCCCAGCCTCCCAGATGGTCTTTGTGTATACTTTTCATAACATGAAAGTTAGTTGATTTAATAATGCATGTGCACTTGCAAGTGGAATTAAAGTAAATGAAAAGACCACATATTTACAGTATACATGTTTCAACCTAGTTTAGGCAACTGATTGTAAAACTTCGTCAACATACCCTAACTCATTAACAACTATTTCCTTTTTGCCCAGCAAAACAAATCTGCTCTGACAGCTTTGTTCTTAGATATTTGCACTGCTAACCCAAAGGCCACACCTCTTTGATGGTTCAAAACCATGAGCAGCTCTCCAGATAGAGCTTTATCTGGCATCTCTGGTAGAATCCTCTATTCCATTGGCAGCCTCTAAAACCCTCCGGAGGGTCAGCTATGAGTTGGTTCCATTGTAACAATAATCAGACAGACAGACTGAAGGACTTGGGAATTTTGGGCAATTAGAATTGTTAAGTGAGCCAGTGGGCTAAGTTTTCTTAAACTTATTTGTACCTTCAACACAGCTGGGTGCCTTTTCCCCAGTGTTTTCACAAAAACTTACTCACAAGTTGCCATCTAGTCAAGTGAAGACCGTGTGCGTGCAAGAGAACTGTGCCCCAAAGGGTTTTCAGTGGTTGCTTCGGGGATGTGGATATCCATGCCTTTCTTCCGAGGCTCTTCTGAATGGTCTGATCTCCAGACTTTTAGGTTAGCAGCCAGATTCATTAACTACCTGGTACCCAGTGACCCCTGTTCACAAACGCTCAAAAGAAAAGAGTGATGAGTAAGAGGTAAGAGTGATTAATCTTCTTAGAGTAGTAAGTTTGGTAAGGAGCCTAGTGGCACAGTGGATAATGTATTGAGCTATAACCAAATAGTCCCTAGTTTGAATCCACTCCAAGGGAGAAGGATGGGCGGTCTCCTCTTATTATGTTTTATGTCTTCAGAAACCCCATGGAGGGTTGGAATAGACCCCTCACTTGTTGGGATTTGGGGGAATGAGTTTAATACTGCACTGTTAAATAGTAGAATGAAATACTAAATCACATACACACACACACACATGTGTCATGAACTTCCAAGAAGAATCTAGTCAGTGTGATTCAGTTATGTCTGAAGGCAATGGTGTAACCTGGCTGTCGCTCCTCACCTGATGTGACGCCCACTGAGGTTATCACTACCACTCTTCCTTGGCCTTTTCTTAATTAGAGTTGTAACAAAGAAATCACCAAAGAGAAAAGCTCGGGGTTTGCCATGAGCAGCCCTATTTCCCCGTGATTAATCATACTGACTTGATGGTCACTTAAGACCATAAAATTGTCTCCGCAACGACAGGGCACATCCACTGATGAAAGTTGGATGTGGTTTGCAATTTCAAAACAAGAATTTAAGACTGCTGTAGGAGGCTGACTCTGTCTTAATAGCTGTTATCCACATTTCTCATGCATTTTTCTGTCTTTAAAAAAAAAAATTCAACATCTTCCAATCTCTCATTTTTCCTTCTCTCCCCTTTATGTCAGTTCAATCCTAACAACTCCTCACACCTCTCAGGAGGGCAGAGATAATATAGTGTTTGCTCACCTCCCTATCATCTTTACTGCTATATTGCTATGTTCAGGTATGGTGGGACGCACAAGAATGGTAAATAGCTATCATTTTAAAAACATTGCCACATGCTGAGAATTGTGTTAGGACTTTATGTGTGGTATTTCTTCTTGTCCAGAGAAAGCTCATGAAGTAAGTACTGCTTTGTTGCTTTTATAGACAAGGGAAGGTATCAACGTCGAGAATAAGCGACTCCTTCAGGGTAGCACAGCTGCTCAATAGGGGAGCAGATCTGATCCGCAGTTCCTAAGCATGGTTCAAAAGAGCCCAAACACAGTGAAATGTAGGCCTAATGTTTATCCTAAGCAGTTACTCTGCATGCTTTGAAGGGAGACTTTTTTGACACCAGAAGTAACAAATGGCTAGAAGAAGCTGGGTATAATGAAGTTAGGAAAGAGAAGAAAAACAAAGCAAAATCTACTACCATCGAGCAGATTCTGACTCATGATAACTCTACAGTTGTTTGCAAGGCTCCACAACTGAACAAGAAGAGATAGACTCATCTTCCTCTTATGAGGTGGCTGGTGGGTTCGAACTGCTATCCTTTCAGGTAGCAGGAGCTAACAGTTAAAAGAAAAGGCCCACTGCTGTCTGGTAGAGAAGATCCTTGGCTTGTAGTCACCCTCCACTGGGTTTCAGAGCTTCTAAAGCTTTGTCAGAGAAGACCGCCTATCTTTTTCCTTTGGAGCAGCTGATGGGGTCAAACCCATGACCTTTACTAGCCCACTACACCACTAGGGACCCTTTTAAAGAGAAGAAGAGGGAGAGTTAGAAAAGACCAACCACTTGGTTAATCATGAGCCCTGCCCTGTCCTTTTTACAAGGTTGTTGAGTATCAAGCCACCAGATTGGTATGGCTGTTAGCCCAGTCTTATCTTTTGAAATTCAAATTTAGTAACCCTGCCTTTGGGCTCAAAAGAAGGGATTTGCAATTCGGGGTGGAAGAAAAACTGCTGGTGGATTAATTTTGGTCAAGAGTGTCTTCAAAATGAATATTTGGTCTCAAGAAAATAAAAAAAAAATCAAAGCAGATTGTTGCTGTTAATTTCTCGCTGACACCTCTATGTGCATCCTACTCATTCCATTATAAAGTCACACAAGCACACGGCCTCCAGAGTGTCCCCTCCTCCCCACGCTGCCCTACGCATGTGTATTTACTGAAATCTGGTGGCTTAGTGGTAAGGAATTGTGCTGCCAACCCAAAGGTACATGGTTCAAATTTACCAGCTGTTCCATGGGAGAAAGATGGATTCGAATCTACCCGCTGTTCCATGAGGAAAAGATAGGCAGTCTCCTCCCATGTGATTTCTGCCTTTGAAAACCCACTGAAGGGTCAGTCATGGGTCACTTCCAACTCAAAGGAACACAACAACAACAACAAACTGTTAAAAGGAGGAGGAGTACAGATACCATAGTCCATAGGGATTTGTGATTGAACCCAACAATGACCCTGAGGGATGATGATTGGCAATTTACATGTAAATGAGATTTAAGCCTCAGAAAACCCACTGGAAAACCAACCAACTCGAAAGGAATTGAATTGACTATTTTTTTTTTTAAAAAAAAAAAAAGGCAACAAAACAGAAGACATTACTGCTGAGTCTTGTCCATCTCGTGGCAGCCCATGTGCCCAGAAGCCCTCATTCCCAGTGCTGTCAAGGCTGTGATCCTTTCTTAAAGCCACCCCTGGGTGGATTTAAAC